GAGTGGGGTAAGGAGATAGGGTGAGTGATAGGTATTAAGGAGGGGACATGTGGTGATGAGCACTGAGTATTATACAGAACTAATGAATCATTGAACACTGCATCTCAGAAACCTAAGATGTACTATATGTTAGCTAATTGAATGTAATAAAAAAGTGGAAAAAATGTTTATGCTACCCAAAGCAATCCATATATTCAAAGCGATCCCTATCAAAATACTATCAACAGTTTTCAAAGAGCCAGAACAAACAACCCTAAAATTTGTATGGAATCAGAAAAGACCCTGAATAGCTAAAGTAATGTTGAAAAAGAAAATCAAAGCTGAGCATCACAATGCTGGATTTTAAATTCTGTTACAAAGCTGTAATCATCTAGGCAGTATGATACTAGCACAAAAACAGACACATAGTTTAGTGGAAAAGAACAGAGAAACAGAAATGGACCCAAAACTGTATGGCCAGCTAATCTTCAACAAAAGAGAAAAGAATATCCAATGGAAAAAAGACCATCTCTTCAACAAATTGTGTTGGGAAAATGGACAGCAACATGCAGAAGAATGAAACCAAACCACTTTCTTATACCATACACTAAAATAAATTCAAAATGGATGAAAATGTGATAAAGGAAACCATCAAAATCCTAGAGAAGAACACAGGCAGCAACCTCTTTGACCTCAGCTGTAGCAACTTCTTACTCAACATCACCACAGAAAAGGGAAATGCAAAATAAAGTGAACTATTGGGAGTTCATCAAGATAAAAAGCTTCTGCACAGTAAAGGAAACAATCCACAAAACTAAAAGGCAGCCTACAGAATGTGAGAAGATATTTGCAAACAATGTACCTGATAAAGGGTTAATATCCAAAATCTAAATCTATAAAGAACCTATCATGGCACCTGGGTGGCTCAGTGGGTTAAAGCCTCTGCCTTCAGCTCAGGTTATGATCCCAGGGTCCTGGGATCGAGCCCCGCATTGGGCTCTCTGCTCCGCAGGGAGCCTGCTTCCTTCTCTCTCTCTGCCTGCCTCTCTGCCTACTTGTGATCTCTGTCTGTCAAATAAATAAATAAAATCTTTAAAAAAAAGAAAAAAGAACCTATCAAATTCAACACCCCCCCCAAAAAAAAACCAGATAACCCAATTAAGAAATGGACAGAAGATATGAATAGACACTTTTCCAAAAAAGACATCCTGATGGCTAATGGACACATGAAATATGCTCAACATCACTCATCATCAGGGAAATACAAATCAAAACCATGATGAGATACCACCTCACAACTGTCAGGATGGGTAAGATAAACAGCACAAGAAACAACAGGTGTTGGTGAGGATGTGGAGAAAGGGGAACACTTTTGCACTCTTGGTCAGAATATAAACTGGTGAAGCCACTCTGGTTAATACTATGGAGGTTCCTCAAAATGTTAAAAATAGAACTGCCCTGCAATCCAGCAGTTACACTACTAGGTACCCAAAGAATACAAAAATAGAGACTTGAAGGGACATATGCACCCCAATGCTTATAGCAGCATTATCAGCAATAGTCAAACTATGGAGAGATCCCCAATGTCCATTTACTGATGAGTGGATTAAGAAGATGTGGTATAGGGGCGCCTGGGTGGCTCAGTGGGTTAAAGCCTCTGCCTTCGACTCAGGTCATGATCCCGGGGTCCTGGGATCGAGCCCCGCGTCGGGCTCTCTGGGCAGCAGGGAGCCTGCTTCCCCTTCTCTCTCTCTCTGCCTGCCTCTCTGCCTGCTTGTGATCTCTGTCTGTCAAATAAATAAATAAAATCTTTAAAAAAAAAAAAAAGAAGAAGATGTGGTATAAAATCAATGCACAGAAATCAGTTGCTTTCTTATACACTAGCAATGAAAATATAGAAAGGGAAATTAAAGAATTGATTCCATTTACTGTAGCACCAAGAACCATCAGATACCTGGGAATAAACCTAACCAAAGAGGTAAAGGATCTGTACTCGAGGAACTATAGAACACTCATGAAAGAAATTGAAGTTGACACAAAAAGATGGAAAAACATTCCATTTTCATGGATTAGAAGAAGAAACATTGTTAAAATGTCTATACTTCCCAGAGCAATGTATACTTTCAATGCCATCCCAATCAAAATTCCACCAGCATTCTTCGAAGTGCTGGAAAAAACGATCCTAAAATTTGTATGGAACCAGAAAAGACCCTGAATTGCTAAGAACTGTTGAAAAAGAAAAAACTCGGGGCATCACGTTGCCTGATTTCAAGCTATATTACAAAGCTGTGATCACCAAGACAGCATGGTACTGGAACAAAAACAGACACATAGACCAATGGAACAGAGTAGAGTCCAGATATGGATCCTCAACTCTGTGGGCAAGTAATCTTTGACAAAGCAGGAAAAAATAACCAGTGGAAAAAAGACAGTCTCTTCAATAAATGGTGCTGAGAAAACTGGACAGCTATATATAGAAAAATGAAACTTGACCATTCTCTCACACCATACACAAAGATAGACTCAAAATGAATGAAAGACCTCAATGTGAGGCAGGAATCTATCAAAATCCTAGAGGAGAACATAGGCAGTAACCTCTTCGACATCAGCCACAGCAACTTCTTTCAAGACATATCTCCAAAGGCAAAGGAAACAAAAGCGAAAATGAACTTTGGGGACTTCATCAAGATCAAAAGCTTCTGCACAGCAGAGGAAACAGTCCACAAAACAAAGAGGCAACCCATGGAATGGAAGAAGATATTCGCAAATGACAGACAAAGGGCTGATATCCAAGATCTGTAAAGAACTCCTCAAACTCAACACCCAAAAAACAAGTAAGGATGTCAAAACATGGGCAGAAGACATGAACAGACACTTCTCCAAAGAAGACATACAAATGGCTAAAAGAATCCACCATGAAAAATGTTCATCATCATTAGCCATCATAGAGATTCAAATCAAAACCACATTGAGATACCACCTTATACCAGTGAGAATGACCAAAATTAGTAAGACAGTAAACAACAACTGTTGGAGAGGATGTGGAGAAAGGGGGACCCTCTTACACTGTTGGTGGGAATGCAAGTTGGTGCAGCCACTTTGGAAAACAGTGTGGAGATTCCTTAAGAAATTAAAAAATAGCACTACTACAATTAGTAGTACAAGTAATACAAGTTAGTAGTACAGTAGTAATACAATTAATAGTATAAGTAATGGTACTACTATAATTGCACTACTGGGTATTTACCCCAAAGATACAGATGTAGCAAAAAGAAGGGCTATATGTACTCTACATGTAATCCGATGTTCATAGTTAAGTAAAAAAACAATGTATACAATACCTTGTCTTTGAGGCTAAAAAAAAATGGGAGGAAATGAGAAGCCATATATTTGCGTAAAGAATTCTCAGGAGATACACTGAAAGCTACAAATACTTATTAGACATAAGAGCTGGATAGAGAGGAAAGAAGCCCAAACAATGTTTTTATGAAGTACTTTTTTGTATGTTTTTATATTAATATATGTTAATATTCTAATTAAAAATATAATTCAAATAAGGATATTTTTTAAAAGAAGGAAAGAAGAGAAGAAACTGGTAACCCAAGTGCGAGATCATTAGAAGATATAGAAGGAGAGAAAAAGCCCTGATTCAAACAACCAAAAAGGAACTACAAATGCAGATACTAAAGAATGTAGACTATAAATTCCTAGTTTTCCTCACCCTGGTACTACCCTCAAGAAGCATGGGGAAAGTAGAATGGAAATTAGAAATAAAAGTCACAAGAGGGAAAATATTAGTTTATGCAGAAAAGACATCTTTGCAGAATGATGGAAAGAGCATAGGCTTTAGAATAAGATTGAAGAATTCCAGTTCTTGCTATTTACTAACCATATGTCTTTGGGTAAATTATTTAATTACTTCCAGCCTTGGTGATTAATTTCTAAATTCCTATGTCACTTAATTGAAATATATTTTAGAAAGATATGTTATCAAAGAATGAAAATTGATTTAAGTAAAATGCCATTACTATACTTAAATATTGACTGTTAACTTATGGGGGAAAGCCCTTATTTGTAACACCACACTCATTTTTTTTTAAGATTTTATTTATTTATTTGACAGAGAAAGATCACAAGTAGGCAGAGAGGCAGGTAGAGAGAGAAGGGGAAGCAGGCTCCCTGCTCAGCAGAGAGCCCGATGCGGGGCTCGATCCCAGGACCCTGAGACCATGACCCAAGCCGAAGGCAGAGGCTTAACCCACTGAGCCACCCAGGTGCCCTAACACCACACTCATTCTGAAGAGTTGAGTTATTATGCCCATGAAATTGGTGGTATTTTGGAGGGATTAGGTAGTAAGGGAAGAGGGGGTGGTATATATTGGTTGTATGTTTCGGCGTTTATATGTGGGTGTCTCTTAGAGCAAAAGGATTGTTAAAAAGCATTAAGAAAATTTAGAGGTAACCCTTTTTTATTTGAATTTCCTAACTAATGAGGAAGTCTCTTTTGCTGATCCCCACATTCATCATAAGTCTTCTACTCTCAATCTGTTTGCCCTTGTTGCTTTTTTTTATTTTTTTAACCACTGGAATATCCCCTCTCCAATTCTGTCAAGAGTTTAAAAATCCGTTAAGGTTACACAAAATCCACCAACTTGACACCTCCTTACCGTAATTCAACCAATCCTGTATTCTTTTATTTCTGAAATCTTACAGCATAAATTTCCCATATGGTTTTTTAAAATTGTTTAGATGATGACAGTCTTTCCCTTGCAAAAACTATAAAAAGCTTAAAAGTAAGCATAATTTCGTACGTGTTTTTATGTCTGACTTGAAAGATAATGGACATATACTAATTGTTGTTTCAAAAATTTTGACCTAGATTACTCAGAGAACCCTAAAGATTGTCACCACAACGGCTCAGACATCCTAACCTTTTCCACTGCTACACCTTTTCCCCTTCCCCTAAGGGCCCCTGTAAAAACTGGTTTCTGGCTAAGCAGAGATATACTTGATATTTTCAGGGCTCACTGACATTCGAGGATGTGGCTGTGAACTTCACCAGAGAAGAGTGGAACCAACTGTACCCTGCTCAGAAGATCCTTTACCGAGATGTGATGCTGGAGAACTACAGGAATCTGGTAGCACTGGGTAAGGATGTTGTCCCTGTAAAACTAGAAACCATTCTAAATGGGTTTATTCCCTTAAGCAGTGAAAATTTCCAAATCTTTTGTGAATATAGTTCAGGCCAGCACAGAATGCTAATCATTGCCGGAGACAGGCCTGACCTTTGTTTCTTGCTGTTTCTCCTCAGGTAAAAAGTCTTGACTTTATTGAGCTTGAGATGGGTAGCTTTATTTTGCTGCCTCGGAAGTTTCCCCTTTCTAAATCCAGAGGCTCCAAAGACCAAAAAGGTTGGAAATGAATTCTAAGAGAAATTTTTATTCCTAGTACAAACTTCTGTGACATACATTTTTTCCATGAATAGGGCATCAACTTTATAAGCCAGAGGTGATCTCTCAGTTGGAGAAAGAGGAACAGCGGGGGATGGAAAGCTACAGCACACTGGATGCTCACGCAGGTGAGGAGCAAGCATTTGGGTATTTGCTGCTCAGTGAAGAGAAGCAGTCACTTCTGAAACATTCAACTGACTGTGCTCCAAGTCTTTGCCTCTGGGGTTTACAGAATACTGAGACCTTTTTAAAAATTCAGTTTATGTTTGACTTTGTTCCAAACTGGAAATGGCCCTCTTATTTTTTTCCAATTATACAGATAATACATACTTATCATTAAAAAATTCACACAACACAAAAGTTAGTGTGAAGGTATCAACTCTAACGTTCATGAATACTTTGATGTTGCAGATCTCCACATAGAATTTTCTGTTTCTTCATTCCTTTTCCTTTTGTTATCAAACTCTTTAAACTTGTCTAAAACCCATAGCCTCAATTTTAATTCTCTTGATTACCTTTGTGACATGACTCCTGTCCTATCTGTACTATTAAAGTGGTTTTCTTGGAGATTATTACCAACTTCCTTCAGTCAAATCCGGTGGCTTAAAAAAAAAAGTTTTTGTCTCCTCTAATCTTGTTGCATTGGATTGTGTTGACTTTACTTTTTTAGAAATTTTCTTTCACTCCGGCTTGCGATGTACACGATTCTTGCCTTTTGTAGTCTGTGTCCAGCATCTCTATCTGCTCCTACACTGCTTTCTCTCCCTTTTTATTCTTCTAAATGTATGTATTCCTACAGGCTTAGTGTTCTGCTCTGTAGATATTCCTTTTAAGTAACCCTTCTATGGCATTTTCCCATTTCTGTATTTTTAGCCTCAATATTTCACCCACATAATCTTCCCAGATTTTAGATTATATTTTTGTTTATGAATGTCATAGTATCATCTTAATTAAATATTTCAAAACCTGGATCTGTTGATGTTATACTCTCTCTTTAAAGCATCCATGAAATAAGAGAGTTATTAACTAAAAAATAAAAACAAAACCTTAGCTCCCTCTTGTTGGCATACCACCTAAAATGTTCTGCCTGGTTGTATCAGTAAGTAGTTCACTTCTAAATGTATGCCAGATACTGAGTTAGGTATTTGACACTGTAGTTTTTTATCCTGGACTCAGCTACCCCATCTCTATGTAGTTTCCACCCTGATTCTTTGCTCTGGCGCAGTGTTTTCCCATTTGGACTTGGTTTTCTGCCATTCGGACCTCAGCTTCTTTCTCAGGGTGGCTTTGACTTGGCTGTCCCTATTGCTTTTAGTGCTCCAGGTCATCTGGGGTGAGAAACCTGCTCCTCTTTCAGCTTCACTTTACCTGGATTTTGGTCTGACCAGTGCTGCCATTCTATGGGTAGAAGCTAATAAAACATCTTCTCAAGAACCCCCGAACGCTTTCTCCAACAGTAGTAGGTGACGTTATTTCTATGAATCTCCACACCCTGAAACCTGGGAAGTAGGAAATTAAAGGAAGAAGATGAAAAAAGCCCTGGGCACCCGGGTGACTCAGTGGGTTAAGCGTCTGCTTTCAGCTCAGGTCATGATCCTGGAGTCCCAGGATCGAATCTGCATTGGGCTCCCCACTCAGTGGGTAGTCTGCTTCTCCCTCTCACCTTCTCCCCTCTCATGCTCTCTCTCTCTCTTGCCCTCATTCTCTCCCACAAATAAATAAATAAAATCTTAAAAAAAATAAAAGAAAAGAAAATGAAAATGAAAAACTCTTTTCCCAGGTGAGTTGCCAGCATAGGCACTTACAGCAGAAGGCAAATCTATTGTTTCCCTCAGGTGTTTTTTCCTTCAGGTACTTTTTTCCCACAGGCAAGTCCATTTGTAGGATTCATGCTATTTCCCATATATCCCTATCCACAGACCCCCAGCTAGAGAAAATAATCGCTAACTTAAGAAAGTTTCCAGAACTTACTTTGTGGATTCCTAAGGCTCTTGGTTCACAGGTCAGGTTGAACAAATGATTTCCTCATATCCGCCTTGTCAGGAACAAGCAGCCTGGCAGTCTCCTTCAAGGAGACAGCTTGCATTTTGGCATTATCCTGTAAGACACAGGGACACAGTCACTGGTTCCTCTTATAAGGCTGAGGTAAGACATTTCTGTTGATGGCCTCATGTAACTCTGGCTTGCCCTCTGGGGTGCTGCTTGTCTTATTGGCATCTATTGATGCCTGTTTACCTAGAAACCTCCTCCTCACTGAGGTAAGACCTAGTAAATGTTTGATTTAGCAACAAAGAGGTTAGCAATTATGTTAATTAATAAGAGAAATAACATGGGGTGCCTGGGTGGCTTAGTCATTCAGCATCTGCCTTCGGCTCAGGTCATGATCCCAGTGTCCTGGGATCAAACCCCGCATCGAGCCCTGCATCGGGCTCCTTGCTCAGTGAGAAGCGTGCTTCTCCCCACTCCCACTCCCCCTACTTGTGTTCCCTCTCTTGCTGTGTCTCTCTTTGTCAAATAAATAAAATCTTTTAAAAAAATAAGAGAAATAACGGGAATGATTAGAAGAACAATCAGTTAGTACATTTTTGAATGAACAGGAGATAAAAAGGTGGACCTTGTAAGTATACAGTATTCTTACAAGAAGTTCGAATGAGAAAGGGAGACAATAGAGGATAATGGGAGAATAGAAGGTGGTGTCAAAAGAGGATTGTTCAAAGCAAGAATGATTTTAGGGGCGTCTGGGTGGCTCAGTGGGTTAAAGCCTCTGCCTTCAGCTCAGGTCATGGTCTCAGGGTCTTGGGATCGAGTCCTGCATCAGGCTCTCTGCTCAGCAGGGAGCCTGCTTCCTCCTCTCTCCCTTCCTGCCTCTCTGACTACTTGTAATCTCTGTCTATCAAATAAATAAATAAAATCTTTTAAAAAAAAGAATGATTTTAGCTTGTTTATAATACTGAAGAAAAGGGGTTAAAAGAAGGAATAAGTAGAAAATAAATACAAAATACAGAGCAAGGTTCTAGAAGAGATGGGAGTGGGATTGGGAAGGAGATTAGGGTGATTTTGTATGTAATAAGTTTGTTGGTGGGAGATTTGGGGGAATTCACACATGGTTATTTCTACTTTCTTGGTGCAGTTGAAGGCAGGGTCCCCTGTTGAATGTAAAGGAATGGTGGGGCATAAGGACAGAACTTGAGGAGCACTTGTTCTAGCCTGTTAAGTTCAATGGAAGCTGACCAAAGATGAATCAAGAGATTACCAAGCAACTTTGAGGATCCAGATGAGATTTTGCCCCATGCATTTGTGGTTTCCAGTGTCCGTGCATATGCCATTTCTCCTATTCTGTTCTGCACCAGAAAGGCTTTGTAGAGTTCAGGCCAAGGGCCTGCTAGATGAATGGAACTAAAGGAAGAAAAATGAGAGTTTGTTAATTCAGGTGATTTGACATAGATTCCAGGAAGTGACAAGAAGTAAAGTAAGGCCTGGAGAGGACTGGAAACTAGGAAACAGTGGATGGGTTAAAGCAGTGGTGTTCCAGATGAGATCAGAAAGCAAGTAGCATGTGAATAAGGGCATTGTATACTTCCCCGGCAAGAGAGTGTGACAGTGAGTTTGAGACTCTTTATATGGATCTGAGTTCAGAGTATAACTGTATTAACCAAGTGAATAACTGTTGAAGTGGAGTGAAGATAAAAGCACAAACAACTACCCAGTTAGAAAATCAGATGGAAGAGAAGAACCCATTTAGTAGTAACCAAAAAAATAAAACACCTAGAAATAAACTTTTTTTTTTGCTTTTGATAGGAAATCTTTGATTGCTCAGTCAAGACATTTATGGTGTTGGTTGGCTTCTAGTCATCACTATGCACAAAATAAATATAAGTAACAGGAAGCGCTGCATGTTTAGAGTCCTTAAGAACAAAACCCACCTGAACTGTCCCATGTGACAAATGACTTATATACAGGGATGTTCATATTGGGGGAAACAACAAGGCTATAAACTACCTAAATGTTGACCAATAAAGGTTAAACAAATTATGGTATGCACATACATTCGATTACTGTATCACCATTATAAAGAAGGTGGATGGGACACCTGGGTGGCTCAGTTCGTTGAGCAACTACCTTCAGCTCAGGTCATGATCCCAGGGTCCTGGGATTGAGCCTCGAATCAGCTCCCTGCTCAACGGGGGAGCCTGCTTCTCCTCATCCATTCCCACCACTTATTTCTTTCTCTCTCTCTCTCTCTCTCTCTTTCTCTTTCTCTCTAAGCAAAATAAATACAGGCATTTTCCAGGAAAGTGGGCACTCTATACATGAAGCAGAGTCTATTGTTTCTGAGTCACCAGGTCTCAGGAAAAGAAGGCAGACCCAGTGTTACAAAGGCCCACATGGAAACAAGCTAGGCAGAGTATTTCCCTGCCTTCGCCCAATCTCCATACAGCCAAAAATAATCACCTTGTGACTCACACACATTCCAATGTTTGCTTGAAATAAAGGCCTGCCATCAGGATACAGGGTTCAAATGGAAGAGAAATTCAGAACGATTAGGGAGAAAAATTAAATGCACTAGAAATAAACTTTTAACAAGAAATGGTGCAATACCTGCATGAAGAAAACTGTAAAACACTCTGACAGACACAAAAATAAACTTGAATAAATGGAGATACCAAGATGTCAGTGTCCCTAATATACATGTACTATAATCCCATAAAAAGTGTCTTCAGGATTTTAGAGGGATCTAGATAAGCTCATTCTAAATTTCATATTGATTATATGTTGGCTAATTGGACATATAAAAAAATGAAATAGAAAAGAAAAAAACCCAAAACAAAAATAATCTGGAAAACTCAGAAAAACAAGAGGAATTGTCTCAATTAGATAATATTCAGTAAAATTTTATTAGAACAGGGCAGACCAACTGAACAGAATAGGACATCCAGAAATAGACTTAGATGTATGCAGGAGTTCAGTAGACAATAAAGGCGTTATTTCAAATCAGGAGGGGAAAGGTGGACATCTTAAGAAAATGGTATTGAGCCAACTGGTATTTAAAAGGTAGACTTTTTTTTTTAATTTGAGTATAACTGACACACAACATTACATTAGTTTCAGGTACACAACATAGTGATTC